AAAAAGGTAATCAGCAACGAAATAGTGAGCATCCAGTACCACGAGGTCGACCACCGAAGCGCCACACCAAAACCAGTCAAAACCCAAATCCGCGCCAGAATCATCTTGTTCTTTCAAACCAGTGCCTAGTATAGATAACAACCCAAACAGCCGTGGTAACTTGCAGCTCTTCTCTATGGATCAACTGGAAACGCTGAGAACCATGATAGAAGACAAGGTTGCCGAGTCAAGCCACGATATCGCCACTGAAGCAGCTCGTGCTGCCGTGACTGCTCTATGGAACCAAAACTCTGTAGCTGTTGGTACAACTCCACAAAGAGATACAAATCCAACAGGAGCTACCGATCCACCAAGGCATACAACTTCACCAGGCGATCCAAATCCACTTTGTGACAACACCGAGTCACCACAACTGCCAGCATTTTCTGTCCCAAACCAGGACATCCCTGCGTCGTACGTGAAAGATATCCAAAGTGGTGAGTTTTTTAATCTGTCAAATTGTTACCAAAAACCTCAGCATGTATGACGAGGATGATAATTTAACATCGACTCTCGACAACTCAGCTATTACGGTTACCAAGAAGAGAAAAAGCAGCCCGTCTCACATAACAGAAATTGAACAATAGGCGATGGCGTTCACTACGTACATGAGTGTATTCACTTATAAATACCCCGTAAGGGCCCAAGAGTTTGTGCAATACTTGAGTTTAATCAGATACGCAGCTAGAGTCCATAAGGGACTAGGGTGGGCTATTTACGACCACAAATTTCGGCAAAAGGCCAGTCTTGAAAAGTCTCTTGTATGGTCGCAGATAGATCAGCATTTGTGGCTGACTATTTTTACAGTATCACCTTTGGCACTAAAAGAGGAGTATCCCCTTTTCAATAGTGGACCCCAAAGCAATGCCTCAAAGGGGGGTGTCCGAGGCATTTACCACCAATATAACAGAGTTGGTGTCTGTAGTAGGGACCAGTGCGAGTACCAACACATCTGTAATAGATGTAAGGGCCAACACCCAGGGCGGGACTGCAGTAGGGACCACAAAAAAGGAGGCTCTGTCAGGGATCAGGACAAGAAAACCTATGATAGGGCTGGCGAGGAGGTCCACCATCCCTCCAAATGTAGTAGTTCCTCAGGCCACCACAAATTATGAGTTTGCTGGGTCACTCCCCACTCCTATTAATGTAAATAGACTTGAGATTGCTTTAGCTGATCACCCCAACAGGGTTTTTGTTTCTAATTTATTGCAAACCTTTAGACTTGGAGCTAATATAGGTTTCTTTGGGCGACGTTCCCCAAGATTTTCAAGAAACCTGCCTACTGCTTTGGCCCAACCTGACATTGTGAAGGCCAATTTAGATAAGGAAGTATCTCTGGGTTGGGTAGCGGGCCCCTTTTCAACACCACCATTTCCCAATTTTCAAGTCTCACCTATAAGATTAGTACCTAAAAAGTACTGGGATAAGTTCCGCAGTATTTTTTACCTCTCATTCCCAAAGTCAGGTGGCACTAGCACAAACTATTCAATTACAAAGGAAGATTTTAGCCTAAATGATATCACCATTGACACAGCTATGGAAGGAATCTTAGCAAATGGTCGTGGTTGCTTCCTTGCTAAGACTGATGCAGATTCTGCCTTTCGTCTGATACCCCTAAGGCCATGTGACTATGAGCTCTTTGGCATGCAGTGGGAAGGGAAATTCTACTATAAGGTTCTGCCCTTTGGTTTAAGGAGTGCACCCTTTCTGTTTAATCAGCTCTCAGAGGCAGTTGAGAGGCTTCTTCTCAATCACTGTGGCATCTCTTTTGTTTGCCACATTTTAGATGATTTTCTTGTTATTGAACCCCCATCGCCTATTGCACCCCACAACTTAGCTTGTCAACAGAGCTTATCTAGCATGTTACTTACTTTTAAGAATCTGGGAATTCCCATTGCACCCCATAAGACACAAGGTCCTTCTACAACCCTTGAATTCATGGAGATTGTTCTTGATTCTGACCGCATGGATGCACGCCTTCCTCCTGATAAGGTCCAATGTCTCACTTTCTGTTTCACTGAATTTAAAGGCAGAAGGTCCTACACACTCAAGGAACTACAGCCTCTTATTGGCTCTTTGAATTTTGCTTGCAACGTTATTCCCCCGGGCCGGCCATTCCTGCAACGTATGATCCAGCTCACTAGGCACATCTCTTTACCTCACCATCGTATTAAGTTCTTTAAAGATCTTAGGATGTGGGAGGGTTTTATATGCAATTGGAATGGGGCAAGGTTTTTTTATGCCTTCTCATTGGGTCACTTCAGATGTCTTGTCTCTGTACACAGATACCTCTGGTTCTCTGGGATTTGGGGGCATTTTTCAAACCCACTGGTTTCAGGGCTCATGGGAACCCCATCAAAACCTAGGTCAGCCAGGGATCTCCATTGCATGGCAAGAACTGTTTGCCTTTGTTGTTGCTTGTCATCTATGGGCCAATTTTTTTTCAAACAAGCGCATTCAGTTTTTCTGTGACAATGAATCAGTTGTCAGTATTGTTAACACAAAGAGGTCCCGTATCCCAAGGGTCATGGATCTTGTTCGTCACTTGACCCTTCTGACTCTAAGGTTCAATTTTAGTATTGGAGCTGAGCACATAGAGGGTAAGAGGAATGGCATAGCTGACTTCCTCTTTCGTTTTCAGATGGATCGGTTGAGGGAGCTGGCACCCCATGCCAACCGAGATCCATGTCTGCTCCCACCCGAACTCCTCAAGATCTAATGGCAGACATCCAGTGCTACCTTAATTTGTTGGTTGCTGATTCTACAAAGCAAACCTACAGTACAGGGGGAAAAAGTTTTATCGAGTTCCTCTCCCTCTATAGGCCTTTGCATGCTCAGTCTCTACCAACAAACGATGACACTTTGATACAGTATGTTGCTTACCTTGCTAAATCAGTCAAGCATTCCACTATCAAGGGATACTTGGCAGCAGTCCGTCATTTTCACATCCGCCACGCCTACCAGCTTAACCTTGGGAAGTTCCTTCACTTGCACCTTGTCTGCCGTGGCATTAAGAGATCTCAAGGTAGCTCAATCAGAACTCGTTTGCCAATTACAGTATCCCACCTCAAATTTTTCTACCCCCTTCTAGCAATCAGGTACACTGCAAATTATGACTCTTTAATGATCTGGGCTGCTATGACGTTAGCTTTCTTTGGTTTCCTGCGGATAGGTGAACTGACATGTAACTCCCAATTTAGCTCTGATGTTCATCTTACACCTCTTGATATTATCTTTCACCCATCTCAGTCCAGCCCCTCTCATCTTTCAGTCAAAGTCAAGGTTTCTAAAACTGATCCCTTCAGGATGGGGCATACCCTTTTAATAGGACAAACTAATCAGAGTATCTGCCCTGTACATGCAATGAAGCATTATCTTACCAGGAGGGGAATTACACCTGGACCTCTTTTTATTTTTGCTTCGGGACGTGCATTGACTAAGGATGCATTAACTGCTGAGACTAGGCAACTTCTCTCTCATTTGGGTTGTCAAGCATCCGATTATGCCGGTCATAGCTATAGAATTGGCGCAGCAACAGCTGCAGCTTCAGTGGGCCTTCCCCCATGGTTGGTTCAAACATTAGGCAGGTGGCCATCTGATTGTTATGAGAGATACATCCAATGCCCACAGGCAGTTTTATCTGGGGTTGCTTTGAAGCTACTTCAAAACTCAAGTAAGTTATTGTTTACTTTGTTTGCATGGAGTGGTTTTGATAAACCTATTTTAATTACTGGTGTGTAACTGTGCAACGTTCTGTTCGTCTATGGGGAATACACTTTGTGTATTTTTGGGGATTAAGTGCTCCCATGCTGGTCACACTTTCACCCATGGACTCATGGCAGCTATTCATTTTGGGGATCGGTACCCCTATAGCTGTGTTGCCATGGGAATGAGTGTTATCCCGGAGGATTATCACCTCCTGTAGGGGATTACTACCCCTTCCGCGGCCAAAGGATTATCACCCTTGAGAGAGAATTATCATCTCTCTTTGTTGCATAATACTAACTTTAGACCAACATGTTATGGCAGCAATTTTGCGACTGGAGTGCTTAATCCCCTACCCCTTTACCCCACAAAGTGTGTTCATATTCCTGTCTTAGCTAAGGGGTTCATAGCATTAATGCCTAGAATATCGTGAAGATTTTCCTGGACTATTTTGCCTGAAAGAAAAACATGGGAAATGTTGCACTTTTTGACAAAAACCATGGACTAAGCCCCTTGGAAAAAAAACAATTTTTCGAGTTTTTTAACTTCTTGTTTTTATCGTCTAGAAAAGCGTTTTTTGTTTTGAGGTAATCGTAAGACCTTTTTCTCTCGGGTATACACGATAGAAAATTTCCTAATTTTGACCAAAACCATGGACTTACCCCTTTGGAAAAAAACCAATTTTTCGAGTTTTTTAACTTCTTGTTTTTATCGTCTAGAACCGCGTTTTTTGTTTTGAGGTAATTGTAAGACCTTTTTCTCTCGGGTATACAAAATAGAAAATTTCCCAATTTTTTGACCAAAACCATGGACTAACCCCAATGGAAAAATTCCAGTTTGTCGAATTTTTTAACTTCTTGCTTTTGTGGTCTAAAAAGACGTTTCATTGTTTCAGAAGATCGGGAAATATATTTCCCTGGCCTATTTTGGCTAAAATAAGAAAATGGAAAGGTTTTAAAACGTTTGACCAAAACCATGGACTAACCTCTTTGGAAAAAAATCAATTTTTCGATTTTTTTTACTCGTTTTTTGTAGTCTAGAAAGGCGTATTTCCTTTGTAGAATATCGTCAACAACATGTTCCTGGCCTAGTTTGCATGACAGAAAAAGATGGAATATTTTGCACTTATTGACCAAAACCATGGACTAACCCCTTTGGAAAAATGCCCATTTTTTTGTGCTTTTTAACTTTTTGTTTTTGTTTTTATGGTCTAGACAGGCATTGTTGGTGGCCCGTGGCATATTTAAAACCCTCAAATGACTGATATCTGGGACAGTGCAAGGGGCAGTGATATATGGGAACTGGTTGAATATCCTGATCCATCCTCTGTGCAGTATAGCACAATGTCACCGTTTCAAGGTCAGCCAGAAAACAATTCAATCTTAATCTCGAGTACAAACAGCGATACTGCAGTCTCCACGGCATCTTTCTCAACATGGGATCCAGATGTTCTAGCTAATGACTGTACAGACTCGGATATCTCTTCAGACCACGAGATGCATTCCAACAGTGGCAACGACGACGATTCTGACTGGGAAGATGTCACGGAGGATAGTGGTTATTGCAGGTTTCAGTCTGCTGATCCAGTGGCCGAGATGCTGGACTCAGTTGTGCAAAGTGGGGTGCTTCCAAGAGAACACATATTCTACAAGCTTGTTTCTGGTGCACTAGAATATGTTTCGTATGACCATTCGAAGGAAGAGAAATACCGGTGGGACCCCACTCTGGTATGCTGGGCTAGATCACTTCTTCGACTTGGTAAAAGTCGAACATTCAATTTTTGTTCGAGGACCTGGTGGTTTCAATGCCGGCAAGGACAAAAGAACACACACGTCAAGCAAACCCATCGATTTCAGCAGATTTGGAATTCCTTTGCCGAGCAAACGAACATTGCGTTGCAACAAACCTGGCTTTACTACTCCAAGTGGCATTATTAGAAACCTCCTTACGTCCATTCTGAGGATTGCCGATTCACAAAATGCATGTTGCTATGTCAATAGTTCTACCATCAAAGCAATTGCAATTTCCTTGATGAGAGATGGTCTTGGCCTTAAACCTAGCCTCGAATTCCATGAAAGAAAGAAGGTTCTTGTTGGTTCAACAAAAAAGATAGATATTGATTATGTAAGAAAGAATCCTGCACCAAATCCTTCGGAACTAAAACAAAGTATGATTAAAGATGCAGACATTTCCGTTGTTACAACTGTTGACAGAAAGACCAGTCTTCCCATTGGGGTTTATTACGAAGCAGCAGGTCAAACTGGAGAGGAAGTGCTGGCTGAAGTTGAAGAAATTGGTGGACATTTACAAACCTCTTACCTGTCTTGAAGCTCAGTCAAAGTCGAGTAATTCAATCTTAATTTACAATTGTGACTGTACGTCTCGCTGTGAGTGTTGCCTTGAAGAAAAGGAAGTTTGTACTACATGCAAGGAAAATGGCTTTCAAAGCATTGAACCCCAGCTCCACCCTTGTGGAAAATGTATATCTGATAGCAAAAAGTGTGTGAAGTTTGTGATAACCAGTTATTCATCAGACTGTGAGCAAAAAACAAAACAGCTTTAGAAATTATGCACTCAAGAAAGGAAGCTGAAGTGGAGCATCGACAATCAAACCTACGCCTTACAGAGGGAACTCCAGATGCAGTTCATGTTGGAAAATGTCTAAAGGGAAGCCTAGCTAACTGGTGGCTTGTACTCGATAACTTTCGTGTGAACTTGGTAATGTTGCACACTCTTTGCCAAGACTACAAATCAGAGACTGGGAGGGACCTGAGGCAAGCAATCACGCTAGAATCTCTTGAGACACCGAGATAAGATGTCAACTGAATCAGTCGCAGAAATCTGTAGTGAAAGATGTCTGTCTGTATTAGAATCCATTCAAAGTCGATGTGATGATATTGTGTACACGCTAGTACCAGAGAAACACCAACACAAGATGATAATAAAGCTAACATCTTCAAACTTCCAGTCAACCTGGTGATAGTAGATAGCCAGAAAGGAACTCTGGCAGAAGTTCGTCTTCATTATTGATTGATTGATTCACTTTTATGTGAATACGGTAATTTCATAAGTTACATAACTTCTTTACATGAAAGCCGTATAGAAACAGAAGTAAATACTGTACAACTACACTAAAAATATGTACAAATAATAAAATATAGTAAAATGTAGTCAACAGTTTGCCTGCCTACTAGCCAGATTTCTTTTAAAGATAGCTTTAGATTCGGACGCTTTTATGTCATTTGGTAATGAATTCCACAGCATTCCTCCTCTGTATGAGAAAGACCCCTTATAATAATATTCTGTTTTTGGAACGTGGTCTAGTACAACATTATATTCCGCATTTCTTATCCAGCGTCAGTGAAGATGGTAGCAACTGGTTACACCAATCCTATAGCAGTGGCAATGGTACACGGAAGTGTTATTGTTGCTGAAAGAATGGGAAACGTTTACTGCCTAGACCTGCATTCAAAGTTGCAAGTTAAGGTTGCGACAATGAAAAAGGCTGACATGGAAGCATTTGTCGCCAGACATAAGATACACGTTGATCACCAACATGCCAAAAATCATAGCCGAGAAGAGTTGAAGTCCGCCATAAATCAATTCCTGCAGAGTAATAAGAAAAGTGTGACTAGCAAGGGAACAAAGTTGGATCTGGAACCATGCGTGAAAACACCAGTGGCAGTAACAAGCTTTGCTGGTGAAATTCTATTCATTGCTGATACTGGAACCAAGAGACTAGTAGAAGTAAGAGTTGAGAAAGCTGATTTTAAGCTAGAGTGTCACGTACAAACGGTTGTGAACTTAAAAGATAACATCAATCCAACCGGATTATGTGTCATTGAGGGACAGCACAAGCTGTTGCTTTCTGATTCCGGAACATTTGGGGGCCTTCTCGTAATTAACCTGGAAGATGGCACAACACAAAAACTCTTGAAAAATGGAAGTACCTTGTGTTCCCAAATTTACGGAGTGAGTTTGAGTGGTCATTCAGATATTTTCACAGACACCAAATCACACACGTTGAAACGGTTTTCTCTTGAAGCATCTGTCTTAGGTGGAACGAGGGTAGTCCAGAAAGTCGACAAAATCATTGGTAATGGCACAAGTGGAACAGAGGATGGACTCATTGGTGTAGCAAGGGTGTCCCACCCAATGGGGATAACTACTGAGAAAGGAACAATATTTTTCGTTGACACAGGCAGCAAAAGTGTCAGGCTTATCACCAAGATATCGACTTTAATAAAATACATCAGAATAATGGAAGACATCTACCGTGCGTTCTATATCCATTCTGGCATTCTTGGTCATGCGGAGCTGCCATCACTATTGAAAGCCGAACAACGCATTGAGAAAGCCGACAAAACGTTAACGCAAATGCTTCAAAATGCCAAGGCCAAGTTCAAAGTTTCAGGAGTCATGCAAGGGCCGCAAGGAACCCCAGCGAGAAGACAGTAGCTTCAGTTACTTTCATCAAGAACTTCCTTCATCGCCTTCGGATCCGATTTAGTGAAGAATGTACACATCTACTCGAAGTTGCCGATGTAAGAACATTCCTCACACTTGTCAATGAGTATTTTAAGAGCGAACTGCGACAAGTAACAGACACACCCACTGGCTAAATTGTGCGATGAACTTCGTGGAGGCTTCGGATGAGACCTTAAAGAGAATTGCCTGGCCTGGATATATTTGCTTTACTTGGGAGAAACAACACTACGAGTTACCATCACACTTTTCAATAAAGCGTGAAGATTTGCTCCCAGTGCCACAAGAACCAACTACGTTCCTGAATAAGGACGACATCAAACATCTTAACGATTGGAGAAATGAGTTTGGACGAGGGGTTAGGCAACAGTCGGTCTGAGATTCTTTCACGAAAGACAAAGCCGGTGCTCTTCCCTTTTACATGTACATGTCGGAAGAGTCATACAAAAATGCTGAAGAACAAGCTCTAACATCAATGCAAGAGCTATTTAAGGCTGTCAGTTCTACAAAAAAAGCAGATACACCAACGCGTGAACTATACATACTGTCTGCCATGTTTTTGGAGGGTTTGTGGAATGTCAGGAATCTAGAATCCGGAACGTGGAATTCGCAACCCTTTCAAATGTCACCTGTTGGAGCATGGTATATAGTTTCATACTTTTACAGTTAGCCGAAGTTCAATTCGCATTATTTGCCACCCTACAAAATTTCTCCTTCAATGAAGCCACACCCAAAACATTTTCGCCAAATTTCCTACCCAAAATAAATTCTGGAATCAAATACTTCAAACGCAAAACAATAATTGTTTCATTTTTTCCGTCACTTAAAATCCTTAATATACCCCTCGTGGGGACATAATCAACAATCATCCTTTGATGCAGTAACCTCTCTTCGTTAAGGTATTTGCACAGGCAAATTTTCAACATTTTATTTTGCCCTCAAAATCTTTCTACAGTAAGTTCAGATGATGTAATATGCATATCTGGTGTTTTTTTTTTAAATATACCTTCGCATTTAGGAGAAAATCTACTCAAAAGTTGACTGATTTACCAGAAGTTAAAGAAAAAATTTCATTTCCGTTACTAAGAAAAAGGACGGCAGGAGCGAAATTTGACTCCTCTTTCCAGCATCAAGTTCTATTGATGCGCTGAGCAAAATCTATTCACTGCTTGGATTCATTGACAAACTACAGCCGCTGTATGTCCAACTTGATTTTTTTTGCTTCTGTTAAAGCTGTGATGATTAATATTACTTGCTTCTTGTCAAAATTTGTTATGTTCTTGAAATATACTCCGTTTTCCAGGGCTTATTATTGTTTTAAATTTACATTACATTGGTGTGTCTTCTCAGCTGATATATTCTGACAATTTTGCCGGGAGAGTAAAATGTTTTCTTGGCCCCTAATCCTCTGGTCTGTTTTTCTGCCAATTTCTTTCACTTTACAGAAGCGAATGAATAAAACTCTTCTTCAATCTTCATACTTCGGCGCGCTTCACTGCATTAAAGCTGACACTGACTAACGCATCTTCCGGAAATGCGTCACACCTAGCAACTGGTCACGTATCAAAATCCAAGGGGGCTATAAAGAGGTCATTTGGCATTTTCTTAGGCTTCCACGAGCATATTACACAGCGGTGATTCAAAACGGCGGGCAAGAAGGTCTGTGATGGTAGTATCGAGGAAAAACAGTTGATTTTGAGAAGAAAATAAGCTTTTTCACACTGGAAAAGCATTAATTACCGCGCGACCGATTTACCTTGACTTACAGGAACCAGTTTTTTGGAGGAATGGATCATTATTTCTTCGTGAAATTTGGCAAATACACAAAGAGCATGTTAATGAACAGATCTGTGTTTGACTAAAGGTTAGAATTGCCGTACAGCTGAGTTATTGATGTCAAAATATGGGTCAAATTACAAAATAGCAAATTGTGCCCTAGAGGCTGGATTAATTGGAGCTGTGTCGTGGTCGAACACAGAATTATTCTATCTTACGTCCTTATTTGAGTTACATTTCTTTTTTAATAATAACTCTAAGGATTCTTCTGAAATTTTGATTTTTCTCTTTCCGTGCCACCCTAGGGGGGTAATTAAATTAACACTTTTTGGGTGACATAACATAGTTTATTTTGATATATCCTAGTTCCTCAAGAACTGAGGAATACTGTCAATGTAGTGACATAAAGATATTATCCATAAAACAACCACTAAAAATGATGCAAAAATGTGCAAAATTTGCCTGTGCAGATACCTTAAGTGGTTTAAACTATCTTTCCTAGGGTAGTGTGCTTTCTCTTTCTCTTCACTTTCTCTTAATTAATTGGAGGAAAAAGGAGAAAAAAAATTGACGTAGGGAAAAAAAAAAAGTCTAGGGAAGGTAGTTTAGGGTAGCTGTGGTCTTAACAGAGTAGCTCAGATTATAGTGTGATAGTTGCAGTCCTTGTACGGTTAGGCAATGTCCTCCTAGGAGAACTTAGATGGGGGTGAACAACGATAACAAAAATCTTTATTTGAAGGCCCATACAAGTACATACAGTATTTTGCCCCATGTAAGGGAACCTGGGTTTCGGATATGGAATCAAGAATCCAGGGCCGAGTTGGTTGAAGGCCGATTAGCGCTTAACCCGAGTTTCTTTTTCTTGTGTTCAAAAGCATTTTCTGGGATTATTCTCTCTGTTATTTTTAGAGCTTCCAATCATCAACTAGTAGACAAAAAGAACTAAAAACTGAAATTCTTTTGAAGCTTTCAAATCTGAATTCAAATCTCACACTAACCCTTGGTTATCTTAACCCAGCTTTGAACAACTCGGCCCTGGGTTTTGGAAACTAGAATACAGCTCATGGAATCTGGAATCCCACTCATGCATTATTGGAATCCATAATGACGTGAATCCAAGTTCTACTGACAAATACTGGAATCAAGTACCTGGAATCCAGAATCCGGACCTCTTTCCTTTGAACTTGAAAAAAATTTTTTTTTCATCGTTGTGAATCATACCCACCCCAATAGGCAGACAATACAATCGATCCCCTTGTATTCTCAACATATTCCCCTGGTCGGTCCAGGGACCAACCCCTGGGTTAAAGATGCAAGTTGATAATATGTGCATTATGGTCCATGAAAATATATAAAGCTACCCTTTTTTGTACATGCCTAACCAGTAACGTATGTACACCTTTTAATAATCAGCCCCTGAACCCTGCTAATTTAGCCATTTTCACATTTTTATATCATTACAGGCTGTTAAATAAAGCACCTTTAAAAAACATTTAGAAAAAAGCAACAAATCGAGAAAAAAAAATTATGTTTAAGCAATTTATTAAGACAGTTCCATTGCTACTAATACATAAGAAAAACTGTTGCACATCTCAAGAAAACAAACTTAACATTACTATTAATATGGTAATTATTTATTCTATTTCACTTGCAGGAACAGACAATTATGAATAAAGGTACACACAGCATAGTATAATAATTATTTATCACCACATGTTATGAAATTTTGTGTGAATTTTATATTATCGATTACTAATTTTCTGCTCTTTTGGAAGAAATGTTTGTGGATCTGGATTTCAGACTTTACTGGTAATATTTCAGAAATTTTACGTCATAATAACTCAACACAATTTTGTCCAGAGATTGGGAAATTAGAGTACCAAATAATATCTCCATAACCTGCAACTATAGCAACTGAAAAATTAAGGAAATCACTGGCTATATTAACTACATAACCTGTAAGTGTTGATACATAAAAGTGACAATATTGATGTCAAAATCAAGAGCTGACACTTCTATAAAATCAAAGATGATATTAATTTATAAAAGGCTTGAAAACACATAAATTATTATATAATTCAAATATCTCAGTCAGCATGTAAAATGACGGGATAGAGATGACATAGTAATTGTGCCCGCAATAATATTAATTATCTAAGCTGAACGAACTCATTTTTTCAAAATACTCCATTTTTTACTTATAGTTAAAACTAAACATCACTTAGAAAACAAAGCCTTCATGTTACAAAACTGCAGAAAAAGGATAAGGATCATTGCTCTCAAATCTCTTTCATCAATATAACAAAGATCAGCACAGAAGATAACCACTATCTTATTTTCATCTAGTAATGTGTTTATATCATTAATTCAGGGACAGCAGGAGGGTCACACAGCACAGCACCTGGACCCAGAAGATCTAGAGGTAAACTTCTGATAAAATTCAAAAGATATAATCAAAACTACACAATAACGTACTGTAGCAATAATTATTTACACAAACGGTAACTTCATAAATAGAAAGGGGGGCCGGCAACGGCCTCTGATCTTGCCGCCTTTTGGCTTTCCATGATCGCCCCAGTCAAGAAATCTGCCAATCATTCGAGAACTGCAGAGCCTGTGCGAATCGGGCTGGGAACAACAACAATTTTAACAACAAGAAGTTTAGCCTCCCATGCAGACATTTTTAGGGGAGCTTGATTTTCATCCCTGAAAAACAAGCTCCCCTAAAAACGCGTGCCTTAAACTACAAGTAGTCCCCCATTTTTCCTCAGGGATAATAGAGGGAGTGAAACGCGAGCGCATGTGAAAATCACCCAACGCGAGAAAAGGTGACGCGGTGGGGAAAGAGAAAAATGAGGGACTACAGACAAAGCCCAAGCTTTTGAACTTATGCGTTACTCTCACAATGCAACACTCTGATTAGCTCTTCCATGGAAATCTGTCAACATCTGTCAAAAACGCGCCAGCCCCTATCAACACTTGACATAATCACAATTTAAAGAAAAAATAACTAGAGCAGAACAAATAACAGCACAGAACAAATAACTAGAGTTGCTCTTGTAGAAGCAACTAAGAAAGCCAACCCGGCAACTGCTGAGGTTCGGGTGGAGAACCAAAACCACGGTCTTGCCTGATCACAAAAAGGGAATAACAGAACAGTCGCAAGGCTGTTAAGCTTATTCAAAAGTTAGCACCAAGGGAGGAACTATGCACTCCAGTCCAAAGACTCACATTATCTCCAGAAAAACAAGCGGCAGTTAAAATTCATGAGCAGTCATGACTGAGTCACATTGCAATTCTCCATAGTTGATGTAGTTTTAGTTTACGCTGTAATCCATTTTTCGAGATTTGGATATCACTATCTATCCGTCCTGCTAAAAACGATAACGAGCTGGGTCCAGCGTGACAAAACATTGCAGGAAACCGTCACATTCATGGCCAAAAAGAAAATCGCTTAAAATTATTCAGATCCAGGAGGCAATTGCCAGAGAAATTAAACAACCTTAAACCCTTATTTAGCCGCATTGAACAGCTTTACTTTTCAAAAGAGGTCAAAGAAAATGCTCTTGCATCAGAGGGCAAATCATGCCGACCATAAACAATAACTGCAGAAAATTAATATGCATGTCTCTCAGTATGAAATAAGCGGCAAAAATCACATTAGCTCAGTCAAAATGTTTTCCTCCAGAGCATAATCTACCCGTCAGAGAAAAAAATCATTAGAACAAGCAGCATTTTGGCATGAGTAAAAGTCGTGTGTTGCCTACACTATCAAGCTCTTCACGAGAAACAGCCATGAAATAAATTAGTATCTGGGTTTTCCTTTGCTTGCAATAAATATCACCCGCAGTTTACCGATTACAAGAGCAATGACAGCTCAATGAGGGAAGGAATCCCATTGGACGCGTTTAATTGATTTGGAAGGGGATACGAACTTCACACTCCAAAATCAGTCCGCCATGAAGGGTCAAAGCTTGGGCTTTGTTACCCTCCCACACAGGCATTTTTAGGGGAGCTCGTTTTTCATCCCTCCCCTGTGGGGAAAATGGGGGACTTCTCCTAGTCTACGCCTGCGTGGGAGGCTACAAGAAGTTCGGCTTCGCAGCGATTCCACAATGTGGAGTGAATATTCGCTATTAGTTCTCTTGGTCATTGGTTTGGTTTCTGCTGTAACCAATTTTTGCCATAGTGATGTGGAGCTTACGTTTTCCTTTCTTCTGGTCTAGCGTTTGTCATTACTTGCGGTTTACTACACAAAGAACAAGACCACTGAACAGTCATTGTTCCTCGATGCCGACCTTTTGACTCGCTTCATGTCTCTAGATGCAGGCTCTCAAGCTCTTTCTGTTTAGAAGACCCAAAAGACTAATGGAAGGGCCACTTCCCCCCCCTCCCAATACGTATGTAGAAGACTTTATATTTCAAGAGAAAGGCCCAAAATTAATTCTTAATCCCAAGTGGCATACTGCTTGTGAGCATGTGATAGTCACTCTCTGAATTTAGCTAAATTTAATCATAGCGCCCCTGCCTATTTCTTCCCTTCCCCAAGACAGGAATGAAATAAAAATCCCAAATTTTTTAAGGCAGAAAACTGCAGGCAGCTACATGATGAAAGGATAGACATTAACGTTGGTTTGATTGATGTTGGAAACAAAAGGCCAAGAAACAAAACAAGTGCAAATCAAGAAAGGAACAAATTGAAAAACACATTCTAGCCTTAATTAGTAGCTGCCAGGATTAGCATGGGAGTGCTGTTTTGGAACTGAAGCTGCAAGAAGAGTGGGTACAAGTCAATTTGTAATCCCACTTGCCACAATTCTTGGGTATTTTGAATAGTCTGCAATCAGGCTTATGGGAGTTTCTAATTGGCTGAGAAGTGATAAAACACCCAATTAAATGATAATTGATCAATATGTCTCGAGTATCTCTACTATCTCCCAAAGGAAAGTTAGCACGTGCATGTGGAAGTTAAATAAAATTGAGCAATCTACAGTGTTAAATGCATCATCATAATAAATATTTGTGATCTATAGAACACATTTAAGTCCTCTCGGACAATTTTCACATACCTAGCATAAAAATAAGCCTGAAGCACAAATTTTCCAACAATTCTTTTTCACGGACACAGGTGTACAAACTGAAACGCATGTCAGTGTGCAGCCAGGTAAAGTACTTTATCAATACTCCTTACACTTTTGCAATTATTACTATATTCTCTAAACAAGTATATACCATCTCTCTTAACAAATTACTTTGCAATTTTCCAACAGATGCCAAAAGGAAAGTTCTGCGCGGTAAATATGAATTTAGTACAACTTGATACACATTAAGATAACGACATGCACAGTGATAAATATAGTCATCTTACAAAGTCTATTGCTTTCCCATACTACTTCTTGAAATAGTGAACGATGTGATGATAAAAATATTTAGTATTTTGTACTTAAACTGTAGCAAACATTAATCTAATATTATTCTGAAGACAAAAAAAAACTGCTCTCAACTAACATTCGAGTTTGAATAGAGGTAAGGTAAAGTGGTGTAGATTGTTCTGTTCTCTAAAGTTACTCTATTTGAGTATGAGTACAATGTCTCAACAACTTTGTTGCAAAGTGTATAGGTCTTATTTAATTTATTGACCAGTCGTGCTTGAAAGTGCTCAGAAAAAGACCTTGAGAACAAATCCTTCACACTCTTGAAAGCTCCTTCCTTTTACACTCATTGGTATCAATCAGAATTTCTTTTTTTTTTTTTATCTAAATGAAAGAGAAAAGTATGAATAGCCAAGGTAATAATTGTATAGAGAAAAATAATGAAAACTTACCTGTAAGAATCTTGTCCAACATTACAAGTTCAAAACTGCCTTTAAAAATAGGAGAACACTCATAAATAACCACAAATAAATTTTTACTGCTCTTGATCAAATGCATTTTCTACTTATACCTTTAAAAAGACTCATAAACACCAAAGAGTATGATGCAGCACCTTGTAAGTATAAATAAAATATTTTCCATACTTCTAATAATATTACTCTTACTGATCTTATTTTACTATTCTAAATTCGACATATCAGTTCAATTCCTTTGTGAAATCACATACCGTAAATCCTCTATTAAGCCCCCTTGGGAGGCTTATTTATTTCAAGCCCTTTTCAGGGGGGGGCTTATTTAATTTAGAAAAGGCGATGGCATCAGTTATCTCTTAAGACCTAGGATGCACACACTTTCAGCTTGTGTCTAATTTTGAGCAAACACATACAGTTACCATATTTTGAAAACATGCTATATAATGCCTCATAGAATGATCGCTAAGCCAATCACAGCTCTAGAATTGAATTATCCAATCATTCAGTTCTGAATAAATAATATTATTTCATAGCAGCGTACAAAGAAGGTAGTGTCCATTAGCCTGGGGCTACTGAATTTTGCTATCGGGCTAGTGAATTCTCTTATTAACTTGCCCGACGGGCAAGTGAAGTTTTTTGAGGAACTGAAATTACAGGAGAACTGTGAAAGCAATCTGCTGGTTGAGATGATGTTTGGGCTAGTAAATGTTAGCTTCAGCTTGCCCGAATGGCAAGCTGTAAAAATGACTTTCTTTGCACCATGCGTAGCTTTTACAGAAAAAGAAAGTTTCTATCCAATTCTAGTTTCTCCCTTATATGCATTTACATATATTTACCACCAACAAAAAATTTCACTTTTCACTGTTGCTAACAGAATAATAAAGCATTTTCTATTTCTACTACTATACAGATAACAAATGGTGCTGCAAACGGTGTGCTCGAAGAACAAGGTAGTACTACATAGATATCCTCCATATGCACCATTCAACTGAAATCACAGCCCCCTGACCCCCTGATCCCCCTGAAGTTAACTTTTTTGTGCACTTGCAAACTTTTGCTAGTAAGATTTTTTTCCACTAGTGAACTGGTGACACCACTAGCAAATTCTTTCCCTTTGTTTGGAAGACAGGGATGATTCTAAGTCGCAAACATTTGCTACTGGATATTTTTTTACTCGCAAATTAATTTAATTTCGAGCCCTGTAACAGGGGAGTAACAGTGACATAGTTGTGGAATTATGCTTTTGTAATGCTGTATTTCCTGGACAGGAACAGTAACGATCTGTCCAATTGGATTTATGGTGGAGCTGTAACGCCACCTGTCACAGAGTGGGGGTGTACCAAAGGATAAAAAATGTGCTTTTCAAAATTGCAAAATTGTTCCAATGATTGCTGTTTACTCCACCATGTACATGTACCCTTCAATGGAATTTTCTTTGCATTTGGCCATCTTTTTTAATATCTGTGGGGTAGTGCATTGCATAGGCAGTTAACTCTAATCTGATGACCAAAAGTGTGTTTTTATTATTCGTACCAACATCAATGGTATGCACTGAAGAGAGTTAAAACACACAAACAAGAGTAACTGTTGCAATTACTTAATGCCGCAATCTAACACTCTCTGATCATACACCTGTAAATGAGTTTAGGGCCGAATCGCACTAGAGCCAGACAAATCAAAAATTGTTTATTTTATGTCAAAAATCTGTCAACGCTTGACTTGTCCTAATGCGATCGCGTATTTTCGAGTTAGCCAAATATTCCGAAGGACAGCCAAACTTCAAAGGCTGCGATGTCCTGCTCCGAGGCAGGACAAATGGATCAAACAACCGAGAATACAATAGCTGGTGTTTGTTTTTTAATTAAGACGTCAAAAATGATGAGTACAACGTGATCTTTGGTTTTCGCGCGTTCTTCACTTTGCAAGATGTCGGACCAAAACAGCCCGCCAAACAGCTTTCCATTTTGCTATCCTCCGGGTTATTTCTTCCAAAACTTTTATGATTCGTATCCATATCGGAATTCCACGACCTCGATGCCCCATGCTACTACCAGTAGTTCTCCGCCAGGACAGAGGAGTAGCAGTCCTCAGTCGGGAAGTAGTGCTAGTGGAACTAGCACTCCGACATGCGAGATTGCCAGCACTTCCACTGAAGGAAACACGAAGCAGGACAAGAGACAGGGCAAGACAACGCAAGACCGATGGACAGAGAACCAGGTGAAATACCTTGTGGATCTGTGGGAGGCGAATATATCAAGGTTGGAGAGCCAACAGTCGAGGAAAGTGTGGGGTGAAATCGCCACTAAAATAAACGAGCAATTCGACCTAGCGCGCCTTCCAAGTCAGTGCGAGAGAAAAATTAAGCACTTAAAAAAGAAGTACAAAGAGGCCAAGGACTGGAATCGATCGCAGACGGGAGGAAATAATGAAACCTGCGAACATTTTGATGTCTTTGACCGCGTGCTCGGAGGCAGGGATGTTGTTACTCTGAAGCACGTGCGGGAAACTGCAAATGCAGCAGCGAAAAATAAGGAGAAATTGCCTGACTCGCCTGCTGGTGACGAGGAGGAGGGATATACCTCGGATCAGGCAGAGGAAGCCCTTCAAGCAATGGGAATCAAAGTCAAAAGCAGGAGCGAGAGGAAGAAGGGAAAAGGAAAGGGAAAAGGGCGCAAGAGAAGCCTGGAGAACGACGATTCTGAGGATTTTGCTAGATTTACCGAGAGAGTGGAGCGCCAGGGTGATAGATTGGCAAATGCTGTAGAGCAAATGCAAGAAATGCAACGAGAGCAAACTCAGGCCATGACTGGTTTCCTCGCTGCTCTGACCAAGGCTATAGAAAAAAATTAAAGGCAACAGTTTTCGTTTATCCTTATTCACTTATCCTGCTTTGTAAACAATTACTCTGAAACTGCAAAGAGACAGTAGTTCAAAGCAATGCTATATTCTAGCGTTTATAAGTTTTCGTTCCAGTTTTTTTACAAAGTCTATATGATCAAGAAAACACGAACAGAACGAAAATAGCTCAAAACAATATGTTATTGTTAAGAGATCAATGATAAATAAAATCACATGGCAATGTACTCTTTTAGTAGTTCTCTGATATCGTCGCCATCCCTCAAAACATTTACATCATTATCATTTCCTCCGTCGTCGTCGCCATCATCCCATTCCCATTCATCGCCGGCATTAATGCAGAAATTGTGTAAAACAGCACATGCTACAACTGTATCACTCACAGAACTAACCCCGCTTTCGATTTGCTTTGTCAAAATACGCCAACGACTTTTCAGAATTCCAAAGGCGCACTCCACGGAAACTCTGGCCGAGGAAAGTTCCTCATTAAATGCAATTTCGTCGGGATCTTGCGTTCCTTCAGGGTAAACTTTTTGTAACCAGGGAGCCAAAAAATAAGCGCTATCGGCCACCAAATATGGACCAATCTCTCGGCCGAGAACATTCATAGTAGGACCAGTCAATAATTCTTGGTTCTCGCATCGTCTGTAAAGGCGACTGTTCCGTAACACGCGTGCATCGTGCAGGGATCCTGGAAAGCCAGCTGCTACATCTAGGAATCTTTTCTTGCCATCAGCCACGGCTTGGACGATTATATCGTAGCGCTGGAATCGACTGAAGTAGTCGACTCTGCTGTCAGTAGGGGCTTTGATCGTGACATGTGTGCAATCAATTGCACCAGCCACATTTGGAAGATCAGAAAGCTCTTCGAAAGTTTCCCTCGTTTCAACAACTTGAGCTTCAGTTTCAGGGAATTTGATATAATCATGTTTTATAGAAACCAGTCCTGTAACGACGTCTTCGACGGCCTCGATTACTGTCGTTGTCCCAACGTTAAAACCAGGCCCAATCGAAACGTATGTTCCTCCATGAGCTAAGCGCGTGAGCCCAATTGCCAATACCTTTTCTGGCTCAATACACCTTCTAAAACGAGTGTTTTGTCTTGTGATGTATGGGCGAAGGACATCCAAAAGCAAACGAAAAGTAGCTCTTCTCATTCGAAGCTGTTTCCTGAAATATTCGTCTGGGATTCTTGGGTCATTATAATGAATATCAAACCATGAATCGGCGGGTCGAGGGAGAACCCAAAAGTACGGATGTCCACGCCGATTTCGTCTTCGCCTTCGAATCTCGAACAATCTCAGAAAAGCTCTCCCCTCTAGTTGAAATTGAGCAAGAGACAAAATTATCAGCATCATCCTCAGCTGAGCGTACATCTGAAATTGTAGGACAAATGCTGCAGCTACAAAAAGCAGAAAACGTCTTGGGATCATGTTGTTATGAAATATGATTTCCCGCCAAGTATTGGATAATGGAAAGGTCACAAGTGTGACGAAATGTAAACATTTCGGATTTGTCCAACGTAAACAAAACGTTAGTGCGATGGAGCGTGGACAACAGACAAATTGTCAGCGGACAAACTTAAAGCCAAATCCTGTGGAGTTTGCCCCGGGACATTCGAAATGTCTGGCTCTAGTGCGATTCGGCCCTTAGTGTACTTTTGGTAGTTTGACAGCTTGAAACAAATTGATGCAAGCAAAATAATTTTCACCCTGATTAATCATTTATTGTGTAGTTCCAGAAAATATCCAGTCCCCCACCACGAAGGGAATTTCACTTAGGACCCCCCCCTCCCCCCTGGATTTTCCATGTTTGCAGGAAACTGATGGCTCCCCCACCCCTCCGGAATTTCCACAAGTGTGACAAAGACCCCCCAACCCCTCTGGAAAACTTCATTTTTATGAAGAAAGACTATTAAAGTAAAAGAATGAGGCATTTTATGGTAAGTACCGAACGGTTTCCATCAGAAGCTTGTATGCTTCTGTTTCCATTTATGAGTGATCTCGCAACATTAAAACACACTACAGCACCACAAAGTAACCTAATCTGCAGTTTTTGCTCATCCCTAACTTTAAATGAAGTAGATAAAGTTATAAGTCGGTTGTATTTATGAATTTACCTTAATCAGGGCAAGCTTACGATTTGTCATTTGTCTTCATGGGCGTAATGTTGATGGAATTAACGCCATTTCGTGCGGGAATGCTATATGGTGAACAAGTCAAACTTTCAACCACAAAATTAAGGCAAAACAAAGAGAAGTATAAAAACTCTGACTTCTGAAATGATAACAATGAATACCCCCTGCATCTTGAAGGGAAACCAGGTTCAATTTACTGTTTTCCGATCGACTGATGTGACGTTATGTGCGATAATAGCGGTAATCTGCCGTAGTTTCGAAAACGAAGACCGAAGCACGGAGCACCCAAATCTCGAAAACGAAGCACCCTAGATCGAAAACGAAGACCCCTAAATCTCGAAAACGAAGCACCCAAAACTCGAAAACGAAGCACCCAAAACTCGAAAACAAAGACCCCTAAATCTCGAAAACGAAGACCCCAAAATCTTGAAAACGAAGCACTCAAAACTCGAAAACAAAGCATCCAAAACTCGAAACCACTGTAGGTTTAATAACTGCAACTTAACGTCTTGCATGACATAATCCGAATCAGGTGGAGGGAGCGGATGCGTCCGCACCTCCAAAGGTCCACAAAAGCCATCCCAAGGTTTTATAAAAGCCTGCCAACTGTTTAACTGAACGTTTCTAGATAGGATATACTGTATTAATCTTATTATTGGTCTCGCTATACTTGATACATCTTACCTTAAAATGCATTTTTTCGGTACACATACATGTTTATGTAGACTTCAAAACTGTCCGTCAGCAGATTTTGGCGTATTCAAGTACGCGTGAGCAGTAACACGAAAGGTCTAAAACGAGACTGAAAACGGAATGTGAGGCTTGCGCGTATTACTCTTACGCCACGCTTTACCGACTTCTTTACTGATTTTGAGAAAAAAACCGATTGTTTTGCAGTCTAACATATTGGATATCTATGACACTGCGTGATCAGAGTAGATCAGATCCAGGCAGAATTTGTTCTAGTATAGGGTAATAGCCTGGGACCAGGCTCTATGGTGGGGAACAGGAGAATTTTAAAATAAAAGGAGCAGATAAAAAAAAGGGAGAGTTAAGCTATTGAGAAGGCGGCCGGTGGGGCGAAGCCTGGAGATATGCTTTTTATGCCACCGATCCACCCTTGACTAAACTAATTTGCAAATGGCCTTTAACAAGGAATGGAATGGAAAACGCTCATCACTTTGTACGGGGATACTTGCTGTAATTCCCGATCCCATCCACACAAGAATCAGTACAACTATACTACCGACATTCTGCATTTTTATTTTTGGCAAAATGGAACTGGAAGCTCCCTATAGAGTACTAAAGTGTGACGTCACGCTGTCATGACAACCATTTTTCTGGGTCTAAACAAAACCGGGCTGCCATAGAGACGCCATTGTTAATTGCGGTTTCGTATTGTTCACTAAATATTCTTGACATATAGGACTTTCTATTCCAAAGAATGAAAAAAAACAATGGTTTATGGACTCCACTGTTGTGCTCGATGCAAACGTTTGAAGCTGTACGTGCGATTTTATGGAGAAATTTATGTGTGAGTAGGTGGCCGATCCCCACAGTGAAAGGCCACAAAGGTCACGAACATGCATTGCTTTGCTCCAAAATGTAACCATAATTCGGAATCGCATGCTTGCCAGTTCTTTCTGTTTCCAAATCCAGAGAAGAACAAGGAAGAATATGACCGATGGGTTCGCTTGCTAAGGTAGGCTGAATGTTTGCTGTTTTTGTATGGTTTTTCACCATCGTGCAATTTCAGTGGGTACAAGTTTGTTTATAATGATAACGGTGATAAAGAAATACTTGAGCTTTGTAAATGGATGGCGAGAAATGTAGGGCACAAGTAGTATTCCGATAGTTTAAGCTAAAATTTTGGCGCTGTTTAAACCTCTTAATGTTAATCTGAAGGGTAATGTTCTATATCAGGAGAGCTGCCAAAAATCCAAGCAAGCATTCCAAAGTGTGCAGCTGTCATTTCAGACGTGGAAAGAAATCTGCAGGGCCGGAAATTTTCAAGTGGAATGCTGATAAACTATTCCCGTCACAAAAAACTCCTCCGAAAAAGAAAAAGAAACCCAAATCATTGGTTAATAAGTTACCGACTGTTAAAGATACCATAGCCATCATTAATGCCAAATCTGCAGAGTCTTCAGATACATGGGACGAAAGATCCTCAACTCCAACTGAGCAAAAAAAATCTTAGAGGCAGAATTAAACGAAGCAAAGCGGGAGCTGAACTATCACCAGGAAACCATGCAGTATCAGAAAAAACGTTACTCTATTTCAATCTTGAGTTCTGAAGTAATCAGAATGGAAACTGGTTTACCAACAAAGGAAATTTTCACAATTGTAGTGGATTATACAGCTAAATTCAAGGACTCCATTTCTTATTACTGTGGATGGAAAGTCGAGTCCATAACCTTTGAGGACCAAATCTTCATAACACTTATGAAGTTACGGCAAAACTACACCAATTTACATCTCGCACAGCTATTTTCATGCAGTGTTGGGACAATTTCTAACATAGTTATAACATTTGTACACATCTTACAAACACTGCTGTTTGATGACCTGATGAGAGTGATTCCTTCCAGGAACAAGAACTGTTTGTGTTCGCCATCATCCTTTTCAGAGTTCTCGAGCTGCAGAATTATTATTGACTGTACTGACATTGAAGTGGCCACACCAAGCCTTATGAGTCAACAAAATGTGACCTATTCAAGTTACCGTGGGATGAACTCATTCAAAGTTTTGACAGGGGTTGCACCTAATGGGGTGTTGACCTACATTAGCAACCTCTAGCCTGGATCCATCTCCGACAAAGAGATTGTCCAGCAATCTGGTTTTCTACAGCACTTTGTTCCAGGTGATCTGATCTTGGCAGACAAAGGATTTCTCATTCAAGACATTGTTCCTAAGGGTGTGTCTGTGAACATTCCACCATTTCTTGAACATGGTAAATTTACTGAAAGTGAGGCCAAGTTAACCAAGTCAATTGCTAGATGTCGCATACATGTTGAAAGGGCAAATGCAAGGCTCAAAGACTTTAAAATTCTGAGTTTTGTCCCTCCATACTTAAGGTCTCACACCGACAAAGTGTTTCAGTTATGTGCAGCTATTGTCAACTTGCAGTTTCCTTTAATTAAAGAGGGGTGTGAGGGAGCAGACTTTGACTAGGAAATTTAATGTACATTGCCAGTTAAGTGGATACATGAGTGATATTCTCAAAAGCAATATTGTACAGTTGGGTGTACTTTTTATTGTTCTTTAATCATCACTTTCTTTAAGATCTTCTGTCAGTAGGCTTTTGTCATGGTACTTGTTTAAGTTCAGGATGCCTGCAGAGGAAGTGAAGCAATTCGAGTGATTTAATATTTCCTTCTTAATGTTGTATATGCATTCATGTTTCATAACATCAAAATAAACTTTTATGATTCATCATACATGTACTACTGCACATTCTCTTGCTAATGCTTTTAGAAAATGTATAATATCAGTCTGCAGGATTTGTACATGTACTTGCACATTTGGACTTAGAGGGTTAACAGTCATGTGTTTGATTGGGTAGTGTTTCTATAACTTACATGTATAACCACTTCAACGGAGACCAGTCAATATTTAGTTAGGGGGGTCACAAATACCTACACTTTTATGATAGCTCAACGGTACATGTATCAATTTTAGTAATTTCTTACCTCATGTTAGTCTTACTGTACAGTCGTTTTCCTACATTTTCATCCCCATCACACTCTTAATACCTTGACAGACGCATGACAGACAGGTGCGACAGTCATGTCAACAAGTGAATGAATATATAATTTTTTGATGCAGCTGCTGTATATTTTCGATGGGATCATTAATTCATGATATACTTGGATCATTTGAGGTTTCTGGGTAACCGACCGCCTACCCCTCCCCTAAGTCACAACTTTGCCCCAAGATAGAAGTAAGTACAAATGTTGACTTAGAGGAGCACACTTATATTTTTTGTAAACACACTAGAACGAACAACCCTCAAGGATGTGTGACACTTGTATGTAGAAGGCTGATGAGTTGATATTCCATAAAGAAATCAAAAAGTGTCAAATGTTTTTTGAAAAACAGACGTTTCGGATGTATAACCCTACTTCAGTGCCACCAGATCAAGGCACAGTCATTTCGCACTGTAGTGAGGCAAACAGTGACTTTAGTTGCTGTTTGACGAGTTAAAACTTATAAATTTGATTTCTGCTGGTCAGTTTTGGACTGTAAGAACTTTTTTTCCTTTAAACTCAAGTTATGTACTATGGAAAGTAGTAGGAGCTGGAAAAAAGGAACCGTTATCTATTTTTTTGTTTTTTTCAAAACAATAACAAGGATGGTGTTTCTATTACACATTGCAAGTTAAGAGTCTAACGTCAATTGACTTGCGGTGAAAGATAGAATCCAGCTACACTATCCTCTAGAAGCAAGAAGAAAACAGTTGTGCTGGTGGAAGTGTTATAACAAGTTTTTTGTAGTTTTTTTATTTGGTTTTACCAGCTTAAACTGTTTTGGTAGTTAAAACCAACATGGCTGGGACTTAAAATCTCTGAAATTTCTGGCGGTTCATCTTTTGAACCACAAAAAATGTCAGTGACTTGCCAAAACATCAGCATACTAATAAGGTAAGAGAACCTCATCAGCTTGCTTGAGAAAACACGAACTGATTCTATTAAGTGGCAGGTGAAGATGCCTACTGCTTATTATCTCGATCAAAAAGGACAAATTGTAATGTGAATTAATAAACTTTGAACTGAAATGACTCTACTCCTAACAAGATAAATATATGATGTAGTGCCCTGAAAAGTTTTTTCTTATTTTTCCTTCAGGAAAAGAACATTTGTGAAGTCTCATTTGAAGACCTAAGAAAGGCATCATCAGGGGTGGCCCAATGGGTCCACATAGCCGCTAGCCACAAAAAGTGTGGGTCCATTGACGACCAAACTTTATTGCACCTGGAGTATGAAGGACCCTCTAGTTGGGGGGAGTTTAAAGTTTTTTATGCCAAATTAATTATGATTTTTTGTTAGAAACAAAAATAACTTAAAATGTACATTGCTCGGAGGGGAGTACTCCAATATATAAGCTATATAGGTATGTGCCGCCCCATCAGGTAGGATTTTTGCGCTGTTTTGGTCTGAAAACGGGTTTTCACTTTGCCTGTTTTGGTCTTCGAGAGAACTACAGGAGTCTATGAATGTGTTATCCAAATGAGTAAGAAAGGAACAAAAATATGCGAATTGAAGAAATGGAGTTGAAGAATTTTTTTGTTTGCGATCTAATCTAAGTTATGATGACATAATTTCTGCCTAAAGGCCAGGTCTGAAAACGGGTATGGATTTTAGAGGTCTGGTGTGAAAACGGGTCTGGAAAATGACATTTTTTGGTCTGAAATAGGGCAAGGATTTGGAAAACGGGGTGGCACACCAGCCCCCACCAAGAATACCAAGGAGTACCCCCCGATACATTGCCACATTTAACGGTATTCAGGAATTAATTTGAAAACTCCTATTAAAATATAAAACATTAAATATGCACTTGACTGTAAATTACCTTAGAACAGTGAAAACTCGATTTAACAAACCTCTGTACTTGTATAACAAACAATTTTCTTCAGCCCGGCCAAAATTGCAGTGAAATGTATGGAGAGAACCTAGATTTAAGAATGTAATGAACGCAATACACAGCACAAACGAAAAACTTACTTCAATATAACGAATAAATGTTAGCAAGTGATAAAAGATGAATGCCAAACAGACCAACACGGATAAAATTCTTTTTACAGTAGTTGAACAGTTTAGTTAGTGTTTCGCTGATACGTGCGAAAGTTCGTGACATTCCATATGCACGTGCTCGTTGAAGCCCTTAATATTTAGTACTCATAAATCGTACCTTTCAGTAAAGCGAAATTTTAATTAATTCAAAGACATGAGTTGTAACTTGCAAGAGTAGATTCGTCGTGGAAAAGAGTGGAGAGTGGATTACAAGAGTGGATTTGAGAGGACTCAATGGATCGAACATTCGCGGCTCCAGGACACAAATGCTACCGGGTACCTATCGAGGAACATTGATCTGACATTCGTTATATTATTTTATTTATGCGTTCTCGTAGTGATATTTGTACTTTAATACACTTTAGGTTTCGAAGGCGTTGTAATGCATCTTTGAGAACGGTAATGAACATAGTGGATTGCAGCTAGCGAAACATTCGAAACCCGAAGCGTGACATCAATGATGGCTGATCAAGACGCCAAAAACCAGAGACGCGCTGCGAAAGGCCGATTTACAAGAAAACTAGCTGAGTTAACGAAGTCAATCGAGGAGGACAAAGGATCAGAAATAGTGGGAGTGAACTTCGAGCAGCTGAACGAGGCATGGAGAAATGTGGAAGCCAAGCATGATATGTACACAACATTTTTAAAGGATAGCGAAGTAGAAGAAAGCGAAACGTGGATAGCAGAGTTACAGAGTTCATTTAGCGAAGCTATGGAGAAACAGGTTGAATACATCGGCTCAAAGGCGGCTAAGGCGATGGTAGAGAAACAGGTACTCAGTCAGCAAGAGGCGGCTAAAAAAGACTACGAAAAAACTCAAAAGTTAATCGATCAAGCTTTCATAAAGCGAGACACGGAGGAAGCAGTTTTTAGAGCGCTGTTAGAGGACGCCTTTAAATTGCTGGAAGCGTGCGAAGCCGACAAGGATGTAGTTCCTGCTCTCAGGAAAGTTCAGCAGGCGTTAGAAGCTTCGTTAGCTGGTTGCAAAGTGGCGAATGACAAATATTTGGAATTTTTGAGCAGAGAAGAGGCCTCGACTGAGGTGGGATGGATTTTGGTCGTGCAGAAACGATACAATCAAGTTGTGGACAGGATTGAATCAGTCATTGCCAATCAAACAAAGGTGGAAGTGGGCCTGAAAAATCTTGAAGCGAAAGCTACTAACCTTCGCCTTGAAAAAATAAAGATGCCCCGGTTTAGCGGAGAGCTGAGAGAGTACCCGAGGTTTAGAAAAGACTTTGAAATTCAAGTTATGCCAAGTTTAAACAGCAGCACTGCGCCTTACACTTTACGTTCCTGCCTCTGCGAGGGGCCACTGGCGGTCGTGAGGGGGGTCGACGATGACATTGATGAAATGTGGCGACGCTTGGACGAGAAGTATGGTGATCCAGCCAAGATAACAGATGTGATTATCAATAGCATACAGCGAGTTAAAGCCATAAAAGAGGGAGAAGATAAGAGATTCGTCGAGTTTGTCGAAGTTATTGAAAGTGGTTATCGAGACTTGTTGAGGCTCGGACTAGAGAAAGAGATAACAACCACAAGCTCCGTAAGCATAATTGAAAAAAGGCTACCAGCTGATATTAGAAGAGAGTGGGCGAGGCTCGTCAGCTCAGACTCGAGTAGCGTCGATAAGAAAAACAAATTTCCAGGCCTCCTCAAGTTTCTGCTCAACCAGAAAAGGGCAATCGAGTATGATTTATCAGATCTGCGAGCGTCCGGAAGTCCCGGAAGTCAAGCGGGCCAACAGTCTGTTCATTGTGCTGATGCAGTGGCTGAAGATCTTAAAGAAAACAAGCAGCAGCCTTTTGAAAGCAAGAGTAGCAGTGCGTGCCTGTTTCACAATAGTGCCAGCCACGGAACCGATGAATGCCAGTTATACCTATCCAAGACTCGTGGTGAGCGAATGGACATGCTTAGAGAAAGGGGTGCATGCTGGTCCTGTTTGAAGATTGGACATCGTCTACGTGATTGCAGAAGCAGGAAAGCTTGTGGTGAAAATGGTTG